CATTTATTAATTTTTTTATTCTATTCACTAGCACCTCTGTTAGAATTTAAATATGAAATGTCCCCCACATGCTCACATGTTGACTGCTTGATCTCCAGTCTGTGGCACTATTTTGAGAAGTGGTAGAAACTTTGGGAGGTAGAGCCTAGTTGGAGGAAGTAGGCCAGTAGGGTCACATCTTTGAAGGTTATACCTAGTCCTGGTCCCTTCCCTTCTCTGTTTTCCTTCCCCTATGAGGTGAATCACATCTCCCCCATGTGCTCCCACTACCATAATTTTCTGCCCAATTGTATGGTGCCAAGCAACTGTAGACTGAATCGTTTCAATCCATGAACCAAAATAAATCCTTCCTCCTTTAAGTTGTTCTCTCAAGAATCTCAGTCACAACTAAGCAAAAGAAAGTAATACAACCTCTGAAGACTGGCAAGGCAGCTGGGACATGGCTCAAGTGGTAGAGCTTCCCTAGCAAGTGCAAGGCCCTGAGTTCAATCCCCAGTACTGCCAAAAATAAATAGAAGCACCAAGGTACAGCTACTACCTTCAAAGAATTTACAACCTAATAGAAAAGACAGTTATATAACAATTACATTATACTGTTTTGGCATTTAAATAGAAGTTTTAAAGGAAAGAATAATTTTGTTGGGGAAGGAGCACAACACAGGAGAGAGAAGCTTTCTAGATGTTACAAAGTAAGAGATAGCAACTTTCCTAAGACCAAACAACCTTTCCTTAATGTAGTTTAAGAAGGAAATGATCTTCTTATTTAAATCCATTTATTTTAAAATATGAGAAATATTCACATGATTGAAAATTTAAAGTGCCTGCCCACCAAGCATGAGGCCCTGATTTCAAACCCCAGTGCCACTTAAAAAAAATAAAAAAGACAAAGGCGGGGAATAAAGGAGAGGGGGGGAGGGAGTGAATCCAAGTATGATATATTTGATACATTGTAAGAATTTTTTTAATGTCACAATGTACCCCCACCCAGTACAATTTTAAATTTTTAATTAATTAAAAAAAGAAAATTTAAAACATACAAACTGATATATGTAGTAAGGCACCTCCCTCCTTCTCCATCTTCAATCATTTCACTAACTTCTCATTGTGCCCCAGTCACCCAGTACCCCTTGATAGAGGTAGGTAATGCCAGTATCTTACACATTCTCCAGATATATTCAGTGCATTATAAGCAAAAGTGAATATATACTTTCCTCCTTTTTACAAATATTTTACTAATGCAACGGCTGTTTTAAATATTCAACAATTAGGCCAAGCAGTGGTGGTTCATGCCTGTAATCCTATCTACTCTGGAGGCCAAGATAAGAAGCATCAAGGTTCAAAGCCAGCCCCAGTCAAATAGCTTGTGAGACCATAACTCCAAAAAAAAAAAAAAACCACAAAAAAGGGCTGGTGGAGTAGCTCAAGTTATAGGCCCTGAGTTCAAATCCCAGTACCACAAAAAATCAATCAATAAATAAATATTAAACAGTTAGAGTCTAAAAAGCCCCATGTTCTAATTTGGCTTAAGCCTCTCTAGCTTAGTCCATAACTTGCTCTACTCATTCATCCTGCCCTGGCAGTGTCCATTACCACTCATTCATTCAGCATATACCTCTTGAGTACCAACTACTATTCTAGGTAATGACACAGAGCAGTGAATAAAACTAGAAAATATCCATGTTCTTATGGACATTTCAAGTGGAGAATTCGCTCCAAAGTAGAGGAAGAGACCAAAACACAACATAAATAACTGTATCAGAAAGTGAGAAGTGCTAAGGGAGAAAAAAATTAAAAATACAGAAGGGAAATACAAAGTGCTAAGGTGGACAGAAAAGGACTTACAAAAAAGGAAAAAAGGAAATGGGGCAAGTATGTACCTGTGACAAGAGTGACATAGGCTGGAAACATCAAGAACCAAAGTCCTGAAGCAGCACATGTTCTATAGTGTAACAACAAGAAAGCTTGAATGGCTGGAAAGGAGCAAGTAGGAGAGAAACCAGGGAATCAGATGGTACACAGTCTTATAGCTATGCCATTGTAAGACATCTGGCTTTCACAAGGGAGTATGAAGAAAGCAACAGGAGAAGAAGGGGTTACTGTGCCCAGAAAATGCAGCAGCACCATGGGTGAGTGCAAAGGCCAGAGCCAGGGTACCAAGCACAACTGTCATAAATGCAGGCAGGGAATCAGGTAAGGTTGCTTAAGGAACTGAAAGATTAATGGGTTAGAAAGAATGGAGCTGGGGGCAGAGAACAGAAACCTACTTCAACAGGAAGAAAACATAAGGACAAAATAGATTCTGTCTCCTTCTTGCCAAAAATATTCCACATAATCTAGGGAACAACGGACTGGAGCTGGAAAGCCATGTTGTGATGCATTTGAGTTCTCGATTTCTCATTTGCATTGCCAGTAACTTCAATTGCTATAATTGCAAACAGCTTATTATGAAAACTATATCAACAAGAAATTTTTATTTTGAAGGTTTATATCATGATTTGAAACTTTCCTTTTAAAGATTATACCATTTTAAGCACATTTGTTGCCATGTATCCATCAGTTTTCCATTTCAGTACTCAGTTTATATCCTCACTCTCCTTTCATTGAGAAGTTTCTGGGGAGTTGTTAGAGGTAGTAGTGGTTGTTATTTTGATGTACACAATATATGCTTGGAAAGCTGTGATTTATTTCAGTTCATCCTTTGCAGAGCAATTGATCAGTGCAATTCCTGCTGTGTTCTAAGAAACTGAAAAACTAGCATTTTTCTTCCAGTTATTGCTTTACACCTTTTACGTTCATAATTTTCTCAGCACCTATCTCTGTATCTTTTACAACCCACTTCCAGTCTTATTATCTCACCAAACATGTTCTCACTAAAGCTTTCTTCTTTATTACAATGCCTATAGAACTCATCTTTGACATTTATGACCATACTCATCTTTAGATGGCACTCAAAGTTCATTTTCTAGGATAACAATTATTCAAAGTTTAATGAGAACAAAAGGACACTAAGGAAGAGAAAGACCAGGAAAACACATACAAATGATCATAGCCCAAGTGCTCACAGGCAAAGCTCAGTCACAGCAGAGGCTCAGTTAGGACACTTTTTATTTTCAATATAAGAAGAAGCTTAGAAACCATTTATAGCAACGCTCTCATTTAATAGATGAAATAATGAAGTATACAAAATGTGTCAAGATGTCTTTTCTTACCAGTTATAGAAAGAGCAACAGAATTTGGCCTAAGCAATAAGGAAACATATTCTCCCACATATTATGAGGTCAAACAGTGCATGGGGATTCCAAAGCTGCTTTTTGTAGCAATCTTGACCAGGTCACCTTCTGTGTGTTAGCATCAGCTTCTGAGTATGAGCAAATGACTGCAGCAGTTCCAACATTTACACTGGGGTCTTGGGAGCTGGGGAAGGACAGCAATGGGGGAGGGAACCCATGTCTATTTGTTGAAACACTCTGCAGAAGAAAAGATACCAAGCTGGGGGAGTGGCTCAAGTGGTAGAGCACTTGGCAAGTGTGAAGCCCTGAGTTCAAACTCCAGTACCACAAAAAAAAAAAAAAAAGAAAGAAAAGATACCTTAGCAAGAATCTTGTCATATGTTCATTTCTAAAGCAATCACTGGCAAGGGAAATGGGATTTTAAGACTGACCTGGCTGAGGCTTTGAACAAGCTTGAGACAGAATGACTGCTGGAAAATCAAGATTAAATAAATTGGCCATAATCAAAAAATTTGTTGTAGATCTTAGAAATACTTTTATTCTTACATTTGTCCTGTATACTTCTAAGAATTTACATCTGTTTCTGCTCTTCAATAATACATTCAATTCTTCTCTCTTTCTGCAAACTCCTCTTGGGGGGCTTACTTATTCTTTTCTAATTACTTTAGGCTTCTATGGAAGTAGGATAGGGTAATGGTAAGTACTACTTTAGAGCCAGACTACCTAGATTCAAATACAGGCCACACTGCTCTGTATGTACCACCTTACTGCCATGCCATATGACCTTGGCACAATTCTTAGTGTAAACAACTCCGAACTCCCACTGGACAAAAGGCAGACACAACAGTCAACACAGCCCATCTTACCAGTTTCCCCTAGAATCTGAGTATTAAGCAGGAAGACTTAAAAACAGAAAACAGTTAAAACTCAGTCTCTCTGATGTCAAGGTCTGGAAAAGGCTTTTCCTGATTTCCTGTTCCATTTGTCCTTTCAATATTTGATTAACAAATTCTTCCTTTGATTAAATTAGCTATTATAAGAACCCTTTTACAAATTCCTTTTTTTGTTGATATATTCCAAAGTTAATTTCTGTTATTTCTTTAACCATTATCTTGAACAAATAGGACTCCTGAAATTAAATCATGAAGTAACTTTATTTTGTTTCTCATTGTGTCCATAAATCCATTCAGTGATCTAACTCTTCTCTGGCCCTGCATAGATAGGATAGAAGGGAAGAAAGTGGCTTTCAAGTCAAACATTCTGCAATCATTTTTAGCTCCAACCCTATGTTACTAAATGTTCTTTTGCTTCCATTTCTGTACCTTAATTGAGTCACTGTAAAACTTATACAACTTCACAAATGTAAGATGCATTGAAATTTGCCTGGCAGACAGTATGTCCTTAAAAAGGTTAACAGAGCTGATAGCAGTAGTGGCCCAGTGAGGTTATCTCTCTTCTTCACAACCATCATGTGAAGCCCCAGACCATCTTATTTCTGTACCTTTGTTCACATGACCCTCTCTCCATTTCCAAATCCTTCAGGACATAATTAACTCAAGCATCACAACTTCCATGAAGCCCGATTGCCCCTATAAAGACCACATCATCTGATGATTCACTTGCAGGAATTGTCATCTGCATAGGAGTCTTGATTTAATATTGTTTTTGTTTTTTTCATTGTGCCTGGATATAAATTATGACTCCCATACAAGGGAAGTATTTCTTAAAGGCAGGAATTATATTTTCATATTCTTTTATGCCCTTCATATCACTTAGCCAAAAGTAAGACTCATAGTAAGTCCTTAATAATTAACATCTGAATGGCCCTCTGAGGGGCTAAAAGTATTTTCAGTCACAATCATTTGAGGGCTTTACAGCTGTGAGCCCTTGGCCTATATCTTCATTGCATGTAAAAGCATACAAAGAAGACAAGTTCTAGAGCTTTTCATTCTCTTCCCACACCAGGCATCTAACAAATGTTATTAACTAAAGAAAAAATGTGGAAGAGTATGGAGTTGCAAATTAATTCCAAATATGATAGGAAATTCTAAATGTATCTGCTACTATTAGCATTTGAAACTACAATGTCAAAATATCCTCTTTTACTTAAAAATTCAAAATATGGAGATAAGAGAACTAGATATTTGTAGACACCATTTTCCCTTCTTAAACATTTTTTAAAAAATAATAATTCTCATGAGAATAAAGACCATATCTTTTTATTGCTGTTTCTGGAGAGAAGTTCTTTTGCTTTTGAAATGCTGCATGATTTAAAGTACACCATGTTCTGTCTTTGATTTCTCTAAACATGTGAAAAAATATACTTAAAAACAAAAACTTTTCCCACTGATGCCCAAGAGCATATTATTTACATATAAAAAGATGGCAGTGGTTCACAGCTATGTGGGTTGCTTTGTAGTCATATGACAAAGTCAACTGGGAAAAAGAAATTGAGGCCTAGACTTAACTCCACATCAAAACATCTGTGAAATAGAAATGTATAAGCTGACTCAATGGAGCCTGGGAACAAGTTCCAATGATACGCCTCAAAAATTCCATACTCGTTGGCTTGTAGTTATGTTTAATGGATATGGCTATTACTAAGTTTAAAATGCTATTTACTAAATGTGATCCTTTATGAATTTTCCCACTAGAACAACCCTTCTTTTATTTATTTATTTACTTTTGGCTGCAGTATTGGGATCTGAACCCAGGGTCTCCCACTTGTATGGCACTTGAACTACAGCCCCAGCTCTTTTTAGTTCTTTTTTTTTTTTTTTCTTTTTTTGAGATAGAGTCTCATGAACTTTGCTCAGGATGACTGTGAACTTGTAATCCACCCAAATCTGCCTCCCCATAACTGGGATTTCAAGCATGCTCTACCACATCAGGTTTCATTGTTTCTTTTCTACATGGATGTTCAGTACAGGATAGGAAAGGGGGAAGAGGGAGATGGACAGGAAAAAAACTGCATGTCTTACTTGGATTGTGCAAGGCAACCTGGTGCAACCACACTGTGATTCTCCTCCTCAGCATGGAGTGCAGTGAGGTCTACCATGTTCACCATCACATCATTTGTGTGGCCTGGAAGCTGTGGAAGCACTGAAATAATCTTCTCTACTAAGTTGTCCCCATGATGTCCGACTGCTCCTATTGAAACAGACAAGCAAATGTAAACTCACAAACTGGAAGGAAAAAGTTAACTAGATAAATACTTTATGATAATGTCTCTTCTATCAAAAAATAACAGACATTTGTAGTTTCTGTTATACAACAGAAACTTTTGGGCTTTGTAACACTAATCACATTCACAATTACCGAGTCAGTGTATGCCTCATAGGGAAGACTTAATGCTCCACAAAGGCAGACTGCACATCTACTCTAATTCCTACATATTCCCAGCAGCAACACAGTACATCCATACAACAGGCATCAAAAAGTGTTTCTGAGTATATTATCAGCATATAGTCAGTCAGTAAAATAGTGGCATAGGATGGTATTATCCTAAAATTTTAAAGCTGAATTTTATTTTTGCTTTAGTGATAAAGACATTAAGACCCAGAAGAGCTTAGGGCCTGAATAAGAGTAACAGGTTTCTCCTCCACTGCAACTGTATCCTCATAATGGCAAAGGCCCTATTTATCTAGCTCACCCTGTACCCACCATGTCTGGCATGGCAGCTAATGAGCTCTCACTAAGGATCTCCTGGATAAAGGAAAGAATAAATGGAGGAATGGTAACAGCTTGCAACAACAGTGGGCTGTTGTTGCCACCACACCTAGCCCACAGGAATAGTTGTTTTGTTTTTTAACTTATAGATATATTTATCAAAACAGTTCTCAAATTGAAATTTTAATTTTCTTCTATTCATGTAGAATTTCTAAACTTTCTGTGGTGAATATACATACTTGTTGTAAGAAGAATAAAAAACATTACACAAATACTTACTTATACACATATAAATATTCCAAAATTATAAAAAAGGGTTATTTCTGACTGGTAAGACTATGGTTGATATAAATGCTAGCAAAACTTCATTTTCCTTCAATGTTTGCTACAAAGAGTACATGAGGTTTACCTAATTAAAAATTAACTTATGGACTGGAGGTGTGGCTCAAGTGATAGAGTGCTTGCTTTGCAAGTGTGAAGCCTTGGATTCAAACACCAGTTCCACCCAAAAAAAAATTATTTACATTCCATCAGAAACTTTTTTAAGTATTACATCAGAGGAATAACAAAATGCTAATTGTACTAAACTGCACTTCTGTGAATACAGATTTTCACATGTCCAGCTTCAGAGGGTTCAGTACTCATTTAAAAAATTTAGTTAGTACTGTTTCAAGATAGTGCTGTTTTAAACAGACTATTTGGACCTTATAAATGTCACAGTAACTTCAGACTATCCTTTTATAAACTGAATAAAATGGCGAGATTTGAATTACACTTACATATTTTCAGAGAGCTTAATTTTTCCTTTATTCCATAAATTTTAAAATATGATTTGAGACACTCTAGAATGGAAGGTAGCCAGGACCCACTTATTTCTTCTCTGTCCTACTTTTAATCTGGCCAAGAGCAAGATATCTCTTCTCTGGGCAAAAAATGGTTTCCCAATTCCATGTTTTCCAAGGAGATAGAGGGTGAAAACAGAGATGTAGGCTCAAGGATTGGAGTGGTTCAAGTGGTACAATACCTGCCTAGCAAGTATGAGTCCCTGAGTTCAAATCCTAGTACTACCAAGAAGGAAAAAAAAAGATGTGAGCTCAAGTGGTCCCTTCCTCTACTAGGATTTTGTGTGATCTTAGGCAACTTTCATCAATGTGGTGCAATTTTCCTAATAAAAACTCAGAGCCAGTCCAACTGACACCTAAGCATCCTTGACCAGGGATCTGAGATCCTACATTAAGGTAATGCTTCAAGGACTAAACCTTTTTAGTTAATAGCACTAGAAAAATACCAATTCTGTGGGTCACATTGTGACTATATATGTTATACTATTTTCATAAGGCATTTAACATCTTCATTTGTATGTGTGCTGATTAATCTTGATTGTCAACTTGAAAAGAACCTAGAAACTTAGTAAAGCACATCTCCAAGTATATCTCTGAAGACTTTTCCAGAGAAGATTAACTTTTAACTAAGCAGGTAACACTCACCCTGAATCTGAGTGGCACCATTTCAGTGACTGGGGCCCAGATGGAACAAAGGGGGAAGGACGATGTCGGCGAGAGCAGGCATTGTCTGTCTCTGCTTTCCAGGCACTCTGATGCAAACTGCTCTGCTCTGCCACACCCTCCCCACCACGATGACTGAAACCTCTGAAACTATGAACCAAATAAATCCTTCCTCCCTTAAGTTGTTTGTGTCAGGCATTTTGTCACAGTGACAAAAAGTCTAAATAAAATATCTTGCCTTTACTTACATGGATTAATGAAAAGCAAGAATTGAGGCATGTTCTTAAGGCTAAATAGATTTTAAAAAGCAACAGTCTACTCTGTTTCTCACAAACAGGATTTTGGGAGCTGTGTCCATTGACCCTTTGTGTTGAGACAGGTCTGCTACCATACATTGAGGAGCTACCTCAATCCACACATTTCTTATATACATGATTCTGTATAACATAAATCTGATCATCTCACATCACAGCTCAAAGCCTCTGTATAGTTTCACATCATACCTTGCTTTTTATTTTAAATATTTATTTTGTCCAATATTGCATTCCCATGCTTATTTCTTCAACTTTATCTCCTATCACTGCTCCTCACCTCACAACAATACAGTTATGCTGGCCTCCAATTTGTCCACTGCCATCCCCTGGGTCTTATATGTTCTATCTATAGGTAGCCTCCTGGACTGTTTACTCTCTTCTTTCAGCCCCTACTCAAATGTCACATTCCCACACAGGTCTTCCCTAGCAATGCTATCTAAAATGGAAACTCCATCGCTCTAATTTCTCATCTGTTTCCCAGTATATTAGTTGTATGTTGCTGCACAACAAATGACCCCACAACTTAGAGAATTAAGACAAAATTTACTTATTTCACAGTTTCTGTGGGTCCAGAAATTCAGAGTGGCTGAACTGGGTTCTGGCTCAAGGTCTCTCCTAAAAGTATAGGCACTGTGTCAGCTGGGGCTGCAGTCATCTGGACACTTGATTGAGGCTGGAGGATCCTATCCGCTTAGGTGGCTCACTCAAGTGGCTATTGGCAGGAGTGCCTCACCGACTGTTGGAAGGAGTACGAGTCCCCACTATGGGGGACTCATCCTCCCCATGTAGGGGAGTACTCCGCACGGCTGCTCTGAATGTCCTCATGACATGACAACTAGCTAGCTTCCCCAGAGGAAGTGATACAAGGAGGAAGATTCAATGCCTTTTACGCCCAGACTTAGATATTACACATCAGCACTTCTTCCAACTGCCTTTATGGGAAGTAAGTGAGTCACTAAGAGCAGCACATACTCAAGGAGAGGGGAATTTAAGTTCTATTTTTTGAAGGAAGAGGCATCAGAGACTTTGCAGACACAATTTAAAACCACTGTTTCTCATTTCATTGTTCTCTTTAGCCCTTAATCCTAATATTATGTAGTAAACTGTTAACTATCTTCATCCCCAAACAAAATATAAGCTTCATAAATGAAAGAACCTTGATATTTTTAACACTACTTCTCCTCAAGTAACGATGAATAAAGAATGAATGATTTCATGACCTTCCAGCAGGTTGACATTTTCTTTTCTTTACAAATGAAAGAAAATGTTCAATGAGGGGCAAGGTAATTAGCTGAGCCAGGAATTGGGGTTATGGTGGTATGGATCTAACATCAGCAACGTAGGTGCTTCCCTGTTATGTCTCATGTCTAATGTTTATTTTTATTTTTGAGAAAGGGTTTTGCTGTGTAGCTTAGGCTGGCCTGGAACTCATTCTGTAGTCCAGCTGGCCTCAAATTCTCAATCCCCTGCCTCAGCCTCCCAAGTGCGGGGATTGTAGGACTCCTGTGCCTCCTATGCTGATCTTAAACAGTATCCCTTAAACTCTCATGTGGATATAAATTCATTAGTTTGCATTTTGTGGAAAAAAATGGAGGAGGAGGTACTGAACTAAAGCAGTACTGGACTAAACAACCGTGTTTAGTCTCTGAAGCTGTAAACTTCTAAACAACAAATCTGCACTATCTCGACTATCCAGAACAAGGATTCTCAAACTTTTTCTGCAGCCATCCCTTTGAGAGTGACCATGGCCACAGGCCCTGGGCAAACTGTCAGGGTTCAAATCTTGGCTCGACCACTTATTAACTGTGTGATCTTATCTATGTTACTGAAGTCATCTGTGTTTCAGTTTCTTCATCTGTAAAATGGGAGTAATTATGATAATTACCCCAAGAAACTATTGTGAAAATTACAGGCATTTACACATAGAGTGCTGAAAAACACAGTACACTCTCAAGTGTCAGCTATTAATGGTCTCACATTTCAACAAATAAATATATAACCACACCTTAAACAAATATGAATACCTCAGTATATTATATCCCAGGATTAAAAGCCACCCACTGAATTGAGAGTTAATCTTTAATCATATGAATTTAAAAGTTCACATGAAGTTAAATCAGAAAAACTGAACAAAAGAAATTTAATTCCCAGAATTACCACTACCCCCCATCTTTTTATTTTGAACTTGAAGACCATCAGCAAAGCACCCTGGCCAATCTCAAGAGCCCAAAAAGGAGAGGAAACTAGACTCAAACTTTTAGGAATTCATGAATCAAGTCTATTATTATAATTGTCTCTGGAAATCAACCAGAAACTGAAGCAAGTCCACAGAATAATATACTTAAATCCTTTATGTGAACATGCCTGAAGTCTTGGTGCCCAAGCCCCTGGGTAGTTTAGAAATGGTCAAAATAAGCTAGAATCAAAGAGATAGACAAATCAGTGACCATTTACTTCTAAAACAATTACAAGAAACGTTCTACAGTTCTTAAGCACTGAGTTCATTAACTGCCTCAAGAGGGCAAGAAAATTGTCTATTTTGCTCACCACTGCTTTTCCAGCACCTGGAACAGTGCTGAACACACAATAGGCACTCAATAAACATTTACTGAAAAAAATTAGACAAGGTAATAGGACTTTCAGCAAGATGAGATCAAAAAGA